GCTTGAGATTTCTCTTATTTGTGGTGCACTTCTTCGAGAGAGAACGGTTAAAAGTGCAAGATGTGTGTGGGGAAGCAGAGGGATTCTTCTACCGGTACTGATTCGTCATCGGTAGTGGTATTCGATACTGCATGCAGCATCCCGCCCAGGAAGATATGCATTAAGATAAAGAAAGAACACGCACAATTATGTGCATACCTTTTCCCTTACTGTGGTATATGTGACACGCCCAAAGTGATACCCTGTCAACATCAGTAAAACTACACGTCAACTAATCATCACTCCATCTATTGCTACTCACCTCTCGCCCGACTTTGGCCCACTGTATCCACTCGTCCTTCCACCTTCATTCATCATCCGCAATTTTCCATTCAAACTCGGGTTCAGATTCAGATATGCAACAAAATCTTTTCCATACCCATTCCCTCGCTCTCCCCCCCCCCCCACACTTTGCCTCCCATCCAATACCATACACCGCACAAACTCGGGCCCAAATTCAGACATGCAACAAATCACTTGATTTCTTTATCACCGGTACTTCTAAACATCTTCCAACCCCATTCGCTAGTCAAAAGTCATGAAGGAGTCTCATCGTACGACATCATACTATTTCGCTTAGAAATCGTACGACTGTTGTTGGTGGTGAGACGCTTATTTTGACTATTTTGCCGCTTTCGCAGGGGCCAAGAGGAATAGGCGAAGGTCATAAGATGTAGATGCAGTACATTTGGTTAGTAGAGTGGGTGATGGAAGAAAGATGTATTCTATTAATGTGCAATTCAAGGAGGCATTCACAGTGGTTGAGCATCATTCACAAAAATTGTCATATATTAAGGCAGCATACGATTTTTTAAAGTATAATAAAATTAAACTAAGTTGGAACCGAAAGACAGGGAGAAAAACGAAATCAACATACGCTGTGGAAGGCAATTTGCCCGTTGGAGTACAAGATCTAATGATTATGTTAGCAAAAGGTGCTTTCAAGTCTTTTCAAGAACATAATGATGAAGTTGAGAGTAATCAGACAGCAGTTGGTACTTTTTTTGTCCACATAGAAGATTACAGAACAGGTCTGTGAATAAGGTATATCATCATATTACTCTCCATCCTCCGATAAAATAAAAACAGATATGCTTACCAAAATTGTATCATCCAAGCTTTCTCTTTTTGAAGAACGAGTCCATGGTTCTTTGAGTGGAATCATGTTTTAAGCTTCCTAATCCACCTCGGGTTTTCTTAAGCCCTTTGAGATGATCCACATAATTAACAGACTTTATCATCAGCGACATGGTAATCTCAACCTTGTCAACAGCATGATTTAGTGGCTTCACTGTGTCTTGAACATTTGATTGATTATCCAAAGAAGAAATCTCGGAATGATCAATCTTGTTCTTTAGTAACTCCATCGAGGTTTGAGCATTGGATTGTTCATCCAATAATGAAGGCACCGAACCAACTTTGGAAGGTGACACTTCTTGAATAGGCTTGATATCCAAATCCAAGTAGCCAGTATTTGACCAACCACCAAGATATTCTAGTCCACGTTCAGGACGTAAAACATCAGGACCAATGGAGACATTCTTTGGATTGAACCGTCTTAGGATGACTCGCCAGAGATGATTCAAAATGATACCATGAGCCACGATAGCAATGGTATGATCAATCAGATTGTTTTCATCGATATTGAGAAAATGCATCAGATGCTCATTGACAAATGTTTCCATCCGCCTCTTCATCGATTCCTTCGACTCCACATCTTTGAATCCTGGATCCATTCGGTGTGCCTCGGAATGAACTTCCTTGCCGGTTTTGTTTGAATCTTTTGAACGTTCATGAAATGGTTTCCTTTCGTAGTGACCAAAGTCTTGTTCTCGAAGAAGCTTAAGCTTTGTCACTTCGAAAGAAGGGACATTGTCTTGAGCAACACGAACAGCTTCTGCCGTCTTGATGGCTCGTTGAAGATCGGAAGAGAATATATGGGAAATTTTCGAAGCGGCGAGATGGGTGCCAAGTCTATTGGCTTGCAATACGCCATGGTTCGTTAGTGCAGAGTCTGTGACGCCGGCACTTGAAAACGTTAGCTAAAGGAAAGATTGAAAATATTGCAAAGCGGAATAAGCTTACTATACGTTGGCAACATTATCGACGGTCTCGCCGTGCCGAATTAGAAGAACCCTCATCCCGCCATATGGGAGAGGAAAGAAGCAATCATCAATGGAATTTTACCATAATTGTTGAATTGTACAAAGTTGTGTTCGTTGATGACTAGGTATGTTGGAGGCAAAACATTTTATGGTTGCAAAGAAAATGTAAAATTTGATTTGCCGAGTTTGCTTAGTCATCATGCTAGTTGCATCCACCAATCTTTACTCTAGGCCGAATTTGAGCCGGTGACATGTCAATCGGATCTAGCTGACTTGCGGTTGTCATTAAAATATGCGTTCAGTATTTCACTATCATGAATCAGAAACTTATTTTCTTCCAATCGTATCTTCGGAGTATCTGATAGTTCGGTTCTCTAATGCATGATGGGGTGTCACCATAGATTCCTTACCTCGAAGCACAAGAAATCTACTTGGAGCTTGAAAACATGGGGAAATAAGTTAACATTAACATATCTGAAGCTAGGGTTGATATTGAATGGTCTCATTCTTTGCAATTTTAAAAGTAGAGGCATGCCCTTTCCAATAAGTGAGCAGAATGTTGACAAGTTAATCGATTCTTTCACGAGACACAAACACTCTATACATGACTCTAACTTTCCTTTTCTTCCTTAAGAGTTAGAAGCTACCTACCAATTTACTTTGTGTAAACCTTTAAAGAATCCAAAACAAAACTTTCGAATATTTTGAAGGTGCCAGGTTTCTTGATTTTCGAGGTACTGCCGATCTGTATCCATAACCCACAAATCAGACCTAGGGAAGGAACTATTTAACGTCATGTTGTAAGAAAGCTTGAATTAGCTTTGGTCACCTTCAGACCTTCCCCTCATGGCATCAACGTTTGATGTGGGTAGAAAGAGTCAAACAGACAATTCTCTGCTTCTTCTAATCGTCAAATCGACTTAACAACGCCAGAATATCTACTCATTACGGGATAGAGCTCCGATCACCTCTTCATAATAACAATTGGTATCCCATTCTCCACCTCACAGCAACGATACAATGGAATCGTTGGACCAAAGGAATGTACAAGACTTCTTTTGGGGTGCAGGACGTCTATTTGGATTTTCGGTACTTATCTATTTGGAGTACATGAAATATATGCTTCGAGAATTACGAGACCAGACATCAAAAGACCCGACATGCGAAACCGTTCAACTATTGTATTTATTGCTTGGATTCTTCGCTTTAGGCGTACAGATATTCGTCTTCCTCGATGGATTCACATCGATTCTGGTGCGGACAACGTCTTTCCTGATCAATAGATCTGATAAGATGGCCCGACTCCTGTTGTGGACTCTTCGACCCTCAATTGTGACGTTGATCATGTGCTCGTCCATGGTACTTCAAATTGTGCACTTGTGCGTTCTCATGCTTGTTATCAAGGATTTTTGGATTGGAAAGAGTGTGAGGTGTAGCATTTCGTGCCCTATACCATCAGATAGTGTCCAAGGGGGCTCAGTCTACCGCGCGATAAATGGTTCCTTCTATTCTATTGAGAGATAGCAAAGAATGAGCTCGGACCATGATGCAATCATCTTCGGATATTGTTAGGATCTATTCGGAGCATTAATGGCTTCATCAGCGATATTGAAGGTTGATAGTGAATGAATGGCCTCTAGCAAAGACACTAAGAAGGTAAGTCGATGAACTCAAGCAAGGCTAGAGACTCGTTGGATGTCTGCTAAAATTCTCAGAATTCTAATCTAACATGTTTTCCTTGTATGTCTCTTGCACCAGCTTCATACACCGAACAGCCTCTCGAACAACCTCCCAGGAATTGATTCTGACCTCGGCGGCATGACTTGTATACATTTGATCAGCGAAAGTTGTTAGTGGTACAAAGGGTTATTGACATAGTTTAAATTCGTGCTTAGAGCCTGTATTCAGTCCAGTAATTACATAGTCTTGTTTCATTTCTTTGTTGCTGGTTGTTGCAAAAGTGTACTGTGGGTGATTATAGATTATTCGGAAGGGACAAGATAGCTTTGCTGCTAATGAAAAATTTCTTTAGCCATGGAACTTGCTGGATACAAGAAAATGTATTTTCAGCATAGAACTGTGCTGTATTCTTCTTCACACTTCTGTGCATCTTTCATGTTGCCTTCACCAAGTTCTAAGAGCTCATACAAGATTTGTTATACACCTTAATACCAATAAGCAGAAAGTAGTGTACACACGGGCCATGTCAAACTGGTAGTGACCAAGTCCTTCGGACGCCTCAGCCCACTTTTCCATCCTACAACAATATCCAATATCCAACAGAACTTACACAACTCCACCACCACAGCTCCAAATCACTTGTCATTAACTGAAAATTATTCCCCAGGATCTCTAATATCTTTCTACAAATTCTCGGAGGAAAATTCGAAGGTAAATTGACCTTTTTATTGTAGTAGTTTTTCACCTTTTCGGTTCATTAGTTTTGTGGTTCTGCATTTTAGGGGAACGAAGTTCGCTTCATCAGCACTCGCCAATTTCACTTCATCAACTGAATGTAGTGTCTTTCATCGGGGTTTCATTAACGATGAACGATTTATTTTTCACTTTGTATTTCCTCTACATCTTATATTATACTTACCTATATGTAACTCGCACTTGCCTTTTTGTCAAATGGCATAAAATATATGGTATATCGGCGATACTTCATACTCTACGACAACAACTACTGTTGATGATAGCAACCTTGTCGTCTTTTACCTTTGACATGCACTTTTAGTTTTAAGTCAACTTTATGCTCAAGGAGTATATACAATGCCTGGCATTGTCGTTTCGTTTCTTCATCGCTGTCTTGATAGATTCGTCACTAACAAGTCTGAATCAATTTAGTATTCAACAATGGTAAATATGGACAACAAATCCCATCCCAATCAGGATGATGACAACCCAAATGTCACAAACAACAACAATCAAGAGAATCTCAATGAAAGCATCTTCAGCCTTCCCAATATGTTTAACAGCGCAAACTTCGCTCAGGCTAGTATTCTTTCTAAAGATGCCGAAAGCGCCATGACAAGCCCAGTTACTGGCTACACTAGCATTTTCTCTGATGTTCCTAGCAGCACCTATAACAGCCCCAGCTCTGCTCATACAAGTACACTTTCAAATGGCTCGGGTAGTATTATGAGTAGTCCAGTTTTTGCTCAAACTAGCATATTTGGAAGCGTTTCAAACACTCATTCGAAAAGCCCTGTTCCTGCTCAGACTAGCATCTTCGGAGATATTCCGAGCAGCAAGTCGACCAGAACAACCTCAGCGCAAGCGAGCACTTTCTCGAATGCACCAGATAGCACCGTTGAAACTTCAAAGACTGTTCAGTCCATCATCCCAAGCTCCGAAGTGGATTTACTTCCTGCTGACCCTGAGCCGGAGCAAGACCCCGATATCGATCCAGACGCTAGCCTCGATGACAACTCAGACGTTGAAATGGATAGCAACACCAGCTCCCGCTCCATCAGCTCTTCCCCCGAAGCCCCTGATTTCAACGCCCCTGCTGCTCCAGCCTCGGAAACTTTCTCTGTCCCCTCATACCGCTCCTCTCCATCCATGCGATGTAACATGCCCCGTAATTTCCAAGAACTAAGTATCATGTTCAACAGCACCAAACGCACTGCCGCTATTAAAGGACAAGCGCATCGAATTGGAACCGCTGGCGCTGATAGAGATGATAGCGGAACCTATGATCCGAGTTTAGAACGGAAACGAAATACGAGGAGTACGAGAGCGATGACTAAGAAGAATAAGGAGAATAGAGGAGAAACTGTAAAGAGCGTGGGTACGGGTAGTGAGAGAAAAACGAAGGAACAGGGGTCATTTGAGCTGGTGGTTACGATTAGATTGACTAGTGAAAGAGGATTGGAGTATTTGAGAACAATCACGCTGGGTCCTGAAGATGACGAGAGGAACTTTCCACCGATTCAAGAAGCGGATGATGAGGATTCGAGTGATGATGATGATGATAAAGATGATAAAGATGAGGAGATTGCGATTGATTATCCGACCCCCTCAACACGGAGGAAGAGGATCAAAACTTCACATAACCGAAGGTACGCTCTATTTTCCTTCCCCTGATTACTTTACAGAAAAACAAAACTAACAACCCCAGATCTGACGGCCTAACTCTCTCTGATCTCAACAACGGCCACCCCCAACGTCGTGGCTGCAAAGGCTGTTTCGAAGCCGGTGACGACGAATGTTCTCTCATAGAATATAGTCACGAATGGCCTTGTGAGAGTTGTGAAGATGCAGGTATCGATTGCGAACTCATCATCCCGCCCGAACTAAAACTTTCCTGTATTCGGTGCAAGGAAAAGCTGCGAAAGCGATGTTCCTATGCGGATGATGGTGGAAAGGATGTTGATTCTTGCAAAGCGTGCGAGGAAGCTGGTGCAAAATGTATTGCTGGTCCCAAAGCTGGTTCGGGACCTTCAATGCGGATGACGGATGTTCTTGAGAATATTGGGGCTAAGAAAAAGGGAAGCTCGAATAGTAAAAAAGAGATTGCGAATAAACTGTTGGCAACAGCTATAGCTACGGTCACCAACGTTGCGAAACCAAAAGCCGCGCCCAGGAAATACGTTTCGTGCAACCGATGCAGACTCGAATTCAAAGCCAAATGTACGCTGAAGCGCGATGAAGAAGGACCATGCAGTCGCTGCATCAAAGCAAAAGTACCTTGTACTTTCACAATGCTACCACTCCCAGTCCCCACACCTTCCAATGAGGAAAAAGGCAAATCAAATCGAAAAGAAACCGTTCCAGTTCTCAGAACCCCTCAAGATATTACTCAAACCATCATTCTCGAATCAACTAGACTCAATGATCGAGAGTGGCGCACTACAAATCCTCATGCTCGACGCACCAAAGTCCAACAAAAAGCCTACGAGAGAGCTATATCTTCTGCTTCTCCCGATGAGCACTTCTCAATGGCCAACTCCACCAACAAACACGATTCCTTCAGCAGACTGCCTTCATACGACCTCAAATACTCCACACAAGCTACGAAGCAACTCATTCCTCCAACCTTCGCCCTCCATCACAAAGGCATCCGCACCATAATTATTCCCACTTCCTTTGCGCACCCCCTCACATTCAACTACAAGCGCGACCCAATGGCTCTCTACCCTCCTTGCGATTTCCACTCCACTCCCTTCTTCGGGCTGTTCGGTTACGGCATCCGCCACGTCACTGTTGTCCCCTGGCCCTCCATCACCGGAGCCGGCTACGAAGAACTCGAAAACGGGTGGGGAGATAGTGGAGCCGGCCATGACGCCACGAGAATGTGTGTAAAATGTACATACGAGCGAGTCAAAATTCTCGGGTGCGCAGAACACGAATTAAGACCATTAGAAGGACTGGATGAGCGAATGAGAGATGATAGGTTAGTGAGAGATAGTGTGAAGGCCTGCGAGGAAGGAATGATGCAGGGGAAATGGATGAAAGGTAGCGGGGAGACGCCGGAGCGGGGAAGTCGGGCGGATTTGGTGTGGAGAGCGAAATGGTGTGCGGTTTGTCCGAGGCCTGGGGATTGGATCTGTAAATTTGGGGATACGTGTAATGGGCGGAGGAGTCTGTCGCATTCTACGCAGGGTAGTCAATCACATGTGAAAGGATGTGGTTTGATTCTTTGTGATACGTGTTATGAACTCCATGGGAAGGTTCAAAAGGGAGGGAAGAAGGGTGGAAGAATTGTTCTGGGCAGGGTTATTCAGTTGGCGGGGAGTCCGAGTAGAAGGGATGATTATCCAGATGGGGTGAGGGCTGATGCGGGATTATTGAGGGAAAACGGGGAGCTATTTGTTAGGACACTGAGAGGAGGCTGCGCAGGGAGCAAAGGAGAAGTCAAAGATGGCGAAAGAAGTTTAACGGCAGGCGAAACAGAAATTGCGGGGAGAGGAATAAATGGGGGTCATAATGGTATGAATTCGGTTGGGAACAGAAAGCGACAAGGAAAAGGCCTTGATGCAGCTCGACAACGACAGACCCTAGACTCGGTTACAGTAAGTAGAGGAGTCGTGGTGAAAAAAGAATTTGCGAACGTAGCGAAATCGAAAGCAAACAATAGGGTTGAAGCTGAGGACAGAGATGAGGAGATAAATGAAGATATCAAGGAAGAAGATAGAATGGAGGGAATGTCAGGTGGAGTGCTGAGAACGGTTGCAACTCCAGCTGCCAGGGCACGCGAGGCATTCACCGGCGATTTCACTGGTGATGGAGTGGCCAGTGGAAGGTGGAAGGGAAAAGGAGTAGATAGACGATATCGTCGGGAAATAGGAGCGAATGATGTGATGAGAAGTAGTACTGGGAGTGAAGTTATTGAGTTGAGCGACTAGACAAATAAAGCTTGACTGAGCTTTATCTATCTAACACTTAACTTCTTTCATCATCTATGTTCCTTATTCCAGACTTACATATCAAGAGATATCTCAAGTGGCATTTTGGGAATATTATTCTTATTATTATTATATTTTTTTTTTTTTAAAAAAAAGGAAATTTAGCGCTTGTTGTCTACATCTCTTAACACAAAACGCATATAGAACGACACGGGATGTACTCCAGCCAGAAAAAAGGTATCCATAGCATAAGAAATAGGAAAGGTGGCGGGGGAAGATTTCCTCTACATCAGATAACAAGGAATTTGCATACACAGTTTTCTTTCTTAGATTATCTTTAGCTTTAGCTTTAGCTTTACCTATCAAATATTAGTTTCAAATATTTCTGATACATGATCTGGGTCATCGCCGAACTATCGGAATATCTCTTGTGTCCGACTAGGTAACACAACTGAAGTTCGACGAGCGTCTTGTGCGAACTTGCAAAGACATGTGGCATCATGCTGGATACATGAAGAACTAAATGGATAGACATTTCGGTTCATGAAGACCTAGATCAAAAGATCAAGAGAATCAATCATCTTCAGAGTCATCTCAACCAATCCCGAACACATCAAAAAAGTGCAATCAACAATCCACACAAAAACTCCATAAATTCTTGAGTTCTCATTATCCGCTGGGAAATAAACTGCACCCCTCCTTCCATAGAACAAAACAAAAACAGTAACAGAATAAAACACAAAATAAAACCCTGAATAGAACAGCCACTTGATCTACCTAGGTACCATTCTCTCGGAAAGTCAACACGCACAATATGAGTTGCATTCCCCGTACATACAGAGATGACGGTTGAATCCAAATCTTAAATGCATGCTGCACAGTATGTAAAAAGTCCTCATCAGGCTATCTCGGAAAATTTTCCTTTCACCTGCTCTCGTCTAAATTATGTTAGAAGCTAGGCAGCCACAAAAGTAAGTCTTTTGATTCCAAGAAAGTCAACAGGACAGAAGACATGAAGCCAAGAACTTTAGAAATATATTGGTATACCATTTCGCATGTCTCGTTTAATATTTACCGCGCTATCCATGTATCTATTTATCTAAGCTCATTTATCTCCCCTCTCTACTTCATTGTAACCAACTCCTCGGCACTAGTAGGATGAATAGCCACACAGCTATCGAAATCCTTCTTTGTAGCTCCCATCTTGACAGCCACTCCAAAGCCTTGCAACATCTCACCACTACCCAATCCCAAGATATGAAGACCAACAACCTTCTCCTCGGGCAATTTACAGACTAACTTATATTTAGTTGGAGCCTTATCTTCTGGTTCCATCATAGCGTAATACATTGCTGTGAAACTAGTATTGTAGCATTTAATATTTTCCTTTCCATAGCGTTCAATAGCTTCCGGTTCTGTAAGACCAATAGAACCGACTTCTGGATGGGCAAAAACGACAGAAGGAACGTTATCATAGTCGAGTTTTGAGTCCTTAAATTGAGGGCCTCCAAATAGACGATCGGCGAGTTTGCGACCAGCGGCAATGGCCACAGGGGTTAATTCAACCTTGCCGACGACATCACCTAGAGAGAAGATGTTTTCGACATTGGTGTTTTGATATTCGTCAGCGATGATTTGACCTCTCTCGTTTTGTTTGACGCCTGCTTTGTCCAAGCCGAGCCTCTCAACTTCCGGAGATCTTCCAATACCCCAGATCAAATCATCCACATCTTCGAGAACACCCTTTCCGTTGGAATCCTCGTAGTGGATGGTAAGTTTACCAGTCTTCTCATCTTTTTCTATTTTGCTCTGGCTAGAGTTCTTGTGCAATTTAACGCCCAAACGTTCATATTCATTTGTGATAGCTTCTTGAACCATAGGATCGAAGTTTCGGAGAAACTTGTCATGACGGATGAACAAATGTGTTTCCGTACCAAGAGCATTGAACATGCCTGCAAATTCAACTGCAATATATCCAGCGCCAACCAAAGCGACCTTCTTGGGTTGTCTCTCGATATCAAAAAATCCATCACTGTCAACACCGTACTCTGCACCAGGAATACCCTTGGGAACAGTAGGACGACCTCCAACTGCCAAAAGAATCTTCTTGGCCTTGATTATTTGCTTGGTGCCATCGTCTAATGTAACTTCTGCTTCATTCTTTCCAGTCAAAGATGCGTAGCCGTGAATATATTCGACTTTATCATTGCCGAGATTTCTCTCGTAAATACCATTCAATCTCTTGATGTATGCATCTCTCTTGTTCTTGAAATATGACCAATTGAATGGTGCGGTGGTTTCGACCGAGAATCCGTAAGCTTTGGACTCATGGATGGCTTCTGCGATTGCGGCAGCGTTGAATGTAACTTTCTTTGGTACACAACTGTTATTCATTAGTGGATATCTTTGAAAGAGATGAAGAAGACGAAGAATAACCCTTCACTCACCCAACATTGACACAAGTACCACCAAGTCTCTTGCTCTCTACTGCAATAGTCTTTACACCATAAACACCACTTGCTTTTCTGGCTGTAGCCAAACCGCCACTACCACCACCAATGACCAAAAAGTCACACTCCTTAGGGACTGGCGCCATATTGAAAGTTGTCGCTGAAAATTGGCGAGAAAGAGAAGAAAGTCTAGTATTTGCCGTCTTGGAAGATGATCGGGCAAGAAAAGTAAATCTTTGCATGAGAGCTATTTTTCAAAGCAAAGCAAAGAGGAAGGAGGGGTGGATTTCTATAGCTTTTGGCGGCGGCCTTGTTTACAAGGGTGGAGGTAGGATTGGGTGACGTCTGAGGAGGTGCTCGATGTCGATTACCAATTGTGTCAGATTGGGTTACACTATACGAAAGTCTAGACTTGAATAGCTTGGAGGTATTCGATAACGATGAAGGGGGTTGTTAGATGGAATTCGAAATTTTGAGTTGTTATCACGATTTATTGATTTCTCAGCAGAAACCTCGGCTCTTCCATTTGTTAATTGTTAAGCCTATCTAGCCAGATCCCTTGATGTTTATGAATATCGTACACATGGTGAAGGTATTTGGAATATCAAAAATGAATGTTATTAAACTGCTTCAATGAGCACTGTGTTTAACAGACGGACAATCTCTCAAGGATTCAATTGACGAGTACCTGCTAGGTAGGTAGGCAGGCTGTACATATTATTCTTATTGGATGCGGAAGGCCCGCGTTGCTGCAATTCATTCCATCATCGACTTCTTGCTCTCGTTCAGGCCATTCCCATAGCCAATGTAGTGGCCTGTTAACCCGAATCTAGTAGATATACGAGAGACCCGAGTACCTGAGCTAGAATTAGTTGAGTAGTCCAGTGCTCCTTCCCGGTGAGCACCTTCTGCATGCACACCAAGCAGCATAGTTCTTATCGTAAGGTTACTTCTTATCGTAATAAGGCTCAAGCAAGGGTAAAAAAAAAAGTTTGGGAATTGCTATCCAGATCACTCTCACATCGATCAACACCAGCCTGCATAAACGATCATGAATGGCAATCACCGTTCCCAGCACCCTCAAAGCTGCGGCTCTCAAACAAATTGCCTTCAAATGTGGCATCTCGACTTCTGGCACCAAACCTCTCATCATTCAACGTCTCCAAGATGAGCTTCCACAAATTACTTCGACAAACACGAAAGGCTCGTCAGCCGACGCCAAACCTCTGCGTATCTTGAGCATTGATATGGGAATCCGTAATTTCTCATTCTGTCTCCTCGAAATTCCCTCCTCGAAACCTACCTCCAAGTCGCGATCTTCCAAGAAGAACTTAAATCCTACAATTCCCATCCCTATCCTTCAATCCTGGCAAAAACTTTCTCTCCTCCCGCAATCCCCTCCAAATGCCGATCCGGAAACCAAAGAAAAAACCCGCAACGAGTTTACTCCCTCCATTCTCAGCACCGCAGCCTACTCCTTAATTCGACATACTCTTCTTCCTCTCTCCCCCACCCACATTCTGATAGAGCGCCAACGCTTCCGCTCCATGGGCTCCAAACATATTTTAGAATGGACGATTAGAGTGAACATGTTAGAAAGTATGCTGTGGGCTACTCTCAAAACATTGGCTGAAGAGAAAGTATGGAGCGGAGAAGTAATTGAGATTGCGCCAAGGAAAGTAGGGAGCTTCTGGGTTGAAGAGAGCGGATTGTTAGATGGAGAGGAGGAGAAGTTCAAGAAGGTTAGGAACACAAAGGAAGTGAAGGCGAGGACCAAGGGTGCCAAGATTGATTTAGTTAGAGGGTGGTTGGAAGCTGGGGAAAAGGAAAATAGAACGTCTCAGAATCATCTTGAAATGGTACAGATAGGTAGTCAACAGGTTAGAGAGGTGAAGGAGAGATACACGGCAAAATGGGATAGGAAAGCTGGGAGAGCGAAGGGATTCAAGGTTAAAAGTAAAACGAGAAACAACGAGGATAAGGAAGAAGAAGATGAGATAATAACAGAGAAAGAAAACGAGGTAGGTAAACTTGACGATCTAGCAGATTGCCTACTGCAAGGAATGGCCTGGCTTAAATGGCAGGAAAACAAAAAGAGGGCAATAGAGGAGGGCGTAGAAGTTTTGCTTGAATGCTGATTGAACGATTCCCTTTCATAACACGTTTTTCTATGCTCCAACAAAATACCTATCTACCACCCAATCCCACTTCAAGGATTTCCTACTCGTCCTCGAAAATCAAACCAACTCATCCAAGAGCTCAAGAAGTCAAGCCATCGAGATCCTAACAAATTAACGACCTATAAATCATCAATTTATGAAACATAGCACACCTGCCCATCCATCCATCCCACCTTACACAACTCAACCTCTCGCTGTCATTAGCCCTATATGAACTACACCATGCACAATAACACCTCATTCCATACCTCAACATCTTAACAAACTCCAAATATTAATCCCACAGATATGCAACATAACCTGCTCATCACCATCCCGACCTTCCTCTTTCCCTTTCCGATCATCGTCTGTTCTTTTACTCATATATATC